TTTTCTCTTAATTAATTTATAACTCTGTGAATACTTATGGACTGTCCGAAAACAATGCAGGATGCAGTCAAGTATTCTCTACAATCTGAGAAAGTTTAATAGTACCTTTTGTGGCGGTCCATCTCCGTTAAGTTCTTTTGCTTTATGCTTTATGGTAAATTTAGTAATCATCACTCCGATACTGTTTTTATCAACTCACAGGTGATGCACTGTGTGGATATTATTAGGACCATCATTAAAATATGTTTATAAAAACTATTTTCCACTACTCCTAAATTTCTGCTGAACTACATAAAAATTCAATTTTCATTTTAGTGGTTCCTACGCTACATATTCTGACTATTTTTCACAAAATTCTCATAATTTCGTGTATAAATAGAAATGTTTGTTTGTCTTTACTTTTTTTTTATTTTTTTTACTTTTTCACTTGTCGTTGGTTATGCAGTAGCAATGTCTCCGCTGCGCTTACCCCCGAATTTACTTCAGGATGCTCCAGTACCACCATTAGTCCTTTCTGCTGATGACATATATCTTCTCGAGACGATGCATGTTCGTGTCCACAATAATCAAAATGATCAAACACACGCACGTGTCTACCACAGCAAAAAAAATGTCATTTTATTTAAAGCTATGTCGACCATTTTGCCTGACAAATCGCTCATTATTAAAATGATACCGGGTCATTGGATGGTCAACGGTTATTTAAATACAGGCGCAACCTATATCGTATGTTACAATTTGAATCCTGATATGACAATCGATTTGATCAAGGGTTATTTACCTCGTGTTCGATTCTCACATAACTCAAGACTCGAAGGAGTCTTCTTCGTACCTTATGATCAACGTGTACCTTGTGATGATGGACGTCGAGAAGCTTTAGTAGAAGTGCATATGCCCATGTTATTGACACAACTTGGATATGGTGATTCTATCACCCTTATCTATGGTGATAATTGTACTTAACCTGTTTAGGAGGATATGTTATGACTGTCCATTGTCTCTATTAGGTACAGCATACAATCTGTAATATGGATCAAGACGACATTTTCTACAATGATTTTCATTTGAGAAATGTGATGATTAATCGTCAAACAGGCCAAATAAAATTCATGGATTTTGGGGGATTTGTTTACGGTCAGCAAAAAATTGCAGATTTAAGACAAGGTATGTACTACTATCCATTTCAATGAGCCGTGCAGGTGGATGTTTTTTAAATAACTTTTTAACAACAAAAGCTAACGACCTGGGGGTTTCGCCAATCGAAAGAGAACAGTTGGGACAACAAACTTATGTGAAAATAAAAATTTTCCAAAACATTTTCCTAATTAATGAAAATTAGCGAAACTTTACAAAACTAGCCTATTTGGGGGTGGAAAACTTTTTTTATGTTTTCACTGGGTTTGCAGATCTCGCGATCCTCTTTCGAATGGTGTCTAAGCGACCCCCAAAATTTTGCTTCCTTGCCGGAGATACAAGCGTTGTAAAAACGGCTCATTTTTCCCGAAATTCGAGTTTTTAGTGGTAAAAAGTGTCAGTATATAGGTATTCGAGTGCGCTGATCATCGTGCTGATGTCACTTTTTTTTTTGCAGGCGAAAAAGATGAGTTTACAGCGTTTTCGAAAAAGTGAGTTTCCTA